GGTTAAATTATAATTATTTAAGTTTAAAATAGTAACAAAAAAAATAATACAAACAAATACCCCCTAATTTACCCAACCGTGCGCTCATCCGAGTCTTAAAAGAGATTAAAATAAGGGTAGCCCATTTGTTACGTTCCACAAAACGGGCGGCACAGGACACATTCTTAAAATCACCACAACTTATAACTGCCGACTGTTTAAAATCATAGATTTTGATTGAGCCGCCTGTGTTGTAAAACTCTCATAAAATTTCGATTTATTACTCAGTGTCGATTACTATTCTACTATACAATTTTTTTTTCATATCAACCCATTCGCCGACCCAAAAAAGTGCTTGCAATATCATCTTAAGTTTACCACGCTTAAGCTATAGTCCTGATTTCGTTTAAAAACACAAATATCCGGACACGTGTGCGAAATCCCTATGCCGCAAAACCGGACAACAAAATTCTTGCAAAGGAATTTTTTTATTGTTATAGACGTCTAGAAGCATACTATTTCGTTTCCAGCAAAAAACGAAAAATCACTCAATAAGCAACTTTACTTTTAATTTGACATGTAACACGACAGTTTCCACCACTAGGACATACTGTTCACCATCCTCTCTCTACCCAAATACAAATAGCAAGCAAAAACATGATACGACACTTTTTGCAGTCAGATGAGGGACTACCATATCTACTGTGCTTCAAATATGACGCCACCACAATCCCCATACCTAAGTATTTTATGTGGGTTGTCATCCCCTAGATCCCAAACCTGTGTTATTTTTAGTTTAACACATTCATTTTGAAACGTTTTTTGCCCTTAGTAAAATCAATGTTTTTATAATTTCATCAACTTTTTCAATATGTAGTCACAAAAATATCTATTTTCATAGTTTTTGAAAGGAAAATATAACAAAACATATTTCATACCTGTGTTAAAATATATCCTCCCATTTTGAAATAGTTTAAGTCGTAGGAGTTTATTACTAAATCACTATCAGATCACTAACAAAATTTAAAATTTAAAGAAAACGCGGCCGCGAGTTAAATAATTCCACTAAATTTATACGATTTTATAAATTTTTTTATGAACAGTGAACACTTGTTCAGACAAATTTTATTTTTGGTATTTTTATAAGCAACACGAAACACGATAATACCTATGTCAGCTTTGGAACATAAACTCGTTAAGTTTGCGCAGAAGATCTCCAAAGTAGATTAAAACAAATTATTCAAAATACTTTTAACTTCGCCTTTTTACGTCCTGACACGTCCTTTTTTAATTATTTATCGAAATTTTATATTTACCACTTAATTTGGCATTGACGAAACAATATTTAAATCAATTACATATTAGGCATTCCAAACAAATGAATTGCCAGTGGGAAGGTTTGCGGTACATCTAAGGGTGGCGACATACGGTGTATTCCATCTACTTTACGTAAAATCATGAATAATGGATAACATTTAAATATTTTATGTCAAACACAATAAAAATAATATTTAAAAAACCCACCTATACATTTCTTCATAAATTGGCAGGCTTGGCGACTACTACTTCGAATAAAAATAGCGTCCAAGTTGCAAGATTATGTCGCTACCCCCTTAGATATACAAGAATTTCCCACTGGCACCTATTGTTTGACAGGTCGTTGGAATGCCTAATTTTATGTTATAAAAACTTTTTTCTCTTTTTTTATAGCAATCTAGATTTTTAGAAGAAAAGTTTTGTCAATTTCTAAATTGTTTTTAAAAGCTACATTTTTAAATGACATGTGGTGACTTAAATTTTTAACGAAAATGTGTACCTACCTTAGATAAAGTACCTATTTACAAAAATTGCAAAACTAAAATTTAAAAACTACTTATCAAGGATTATTCTACAAGTAGTAAGAATTTTTTTGAGAACATTTTTTGTTCTATGAAAATTTGCAAGGGAACAACAAAATGTTCTCAAAAAAAATCTCACCTCGCGTGGTATTTGAATAGATTATTTAACAATACAAACAATAGTTTCTCATTTAAGTGCAAAAAGTAGCATGTCGTGATTTTTGCTTGCTATTTGTATTAAGGTACAGAAGAGGGGGGGGGTGAACAATAAATATCGCGGTGGTGGAAGCTGTCGTGTAACGGTGTAACCTGTCAAGTTCAAAGGAATGTTGCTTATCGATGATTTTTTCGTGTTTTCCTATCAATGAAATAATATGCTTCTAAAATGTCTATAACAATAAAGCAATCACTTGCATTTGCAATCCGGTTTTGCGTAAAATCGGAACCAAGTGGTATAATTGTTGTCAAAATGTTTGTATGACTCTTAACCAAGAGCACGACCAAGAGTAGTAATGCCCATGTAAGCATTTTTATTTAGTAGTTCCACCCCATTAGCCATAAATTTGACTATTTTGACATTTTTTTCTAGAAAAAAAAAAAGTTAAATGGTTGAACTATTATGTAAAAGGGGTTATATTGCTCTCAAAATGTTTGTATGACTCTCAACTAAGAATATTGCTATTCGGACATTTTTTATTTAGCAGTTATATCCCATTTTGCTTCTTATTCACTCCATGTATTTCCGCGAAAAACTTGTCAAATAGTCTATTGTATGGTGAATGAGGAAATATTCTTAAGGCGCATACACACCTGAACATTCGGGTCTACCGATCTGAACGGAAAATTATAGCGAGACACATGAGCTTTTATTCGGACGGATACATGAATGCTCATCGTGTCTGTCGGATGCACGTATGATATGATCTGATGTCTCTTCTTCCGCTAGCGTCGCCGACCACACTGAGCAAACCACATACTTTGATTTTCTTTTACTATACGGAGAATGGTCGCACTGCGCAGCTTTCTGAGTGTGCCTTTTAAAAGGAGATAGAAAACTCCGCCATTTTGAACCCTTATTACGTGTTGTCTACATCTTGGCCCAATATTTTTAATAGATGCGTTTTAATCATCCGCTTCTGCTTCGGAATTGTCGGTTTTCTTGTTTTAATCTGACAGGTTAGAACGACTGAACCGACAATTCCGGAAGCAGAAGCGGATGATTAAAACACACCTGATATTTTGCTTGCTGCTGTCAGTGTCAGTGAATATTATTTTTGGAGTCACAGTTTATTGCTAAAGAATCAGTTAGCTCACTCGGACCAGTTGAAAGTTCCAAAATAACATCCACTCCAGGGATACAAATTCAGGATACGCAGAAGACTGCTGTTTTATTATAGGCAGTTGTCATATATTGTATTATCTGAGTTGCGCAGTGTATAAACTGGAACATTGAGATTAAAAGTGCCGACGCAGAGTGAGCGATCTGATTCTTTAGCTATAAACTGTGTCATAGGGTTCAAAATGGCCGCACCCTATGTTGGGCGTGTCGGACCTCTCTCTTGCCCCGTATAGTAATCAAAGTATGTGGAGCTAACTGATTCTTTAGCAATAAACTGTGAGTTCAAAAATAATATTCACTGACACTGACAGCAGCAAGCAAAATATCAGGTGCGTTTTAATCATCCGCTTCTGCTTCCGGAATTGTCGGTTTAGTCGTTTTAACCTGTCAGATTAAAACAAGAAAACCGACAATTCCGAAGCAGAAGCGGATGATTAAAACGCACCTATTAAAAATATTGCGCCAAGATGTGGGCAACACGTAATAAGGGTTCAAAATGGCGGAGTTTTCTATCTCCTTTTAAAAGGCACCACATACTTTGATTACTATACGGGGCAAGAGAGAGGTCCGACACGCCCAACATAGGGCGCGGCCATTTTGAACCCTATGACACAGTTTATAGCTAAAGAATCAGATCGCTCACTCTGCGTCGGCACTTTTTATCTCAATGTTCCAGTTTATACACTGCGCAACTCAGATAATAGAAAATTATTCGGTTTACAAAAGTCTGTAGCAACAAAAACTACGTTTAGATGCCAATTCTCAAAAAAAAAATATATATGACAACCGCCTATAATAAAACAGCAGTCTTCTGCGTATCCTGAATTTGTATCCCTGGAGTGGATGTTATTTTGGAACTTTCAACTGGTCCGAGTGAGCTAACTGATTCTTTAGCAATAAACTGTGATTCCAAAAATAATATTCACTGACACTGACAGCTGCAAGCACAATATCAGGTGCGTTTTAATCATCCGCTTCTGCTTCCGTAATTGTCGGTTCAGTCGTTTCTAACCTGTCAGATTAAAACAAGAAAACCGACAATTCCGAAGCAGAAGCGGATGATTAAAACGCACCTATTAAAAATATTGCGCCAAGACGTAGGCAACACGTAATAAGGGATCAAAATGGCGGAGTTTTCTATCTCCTTTTTAAAGGCACTCAGAAAGCTGCGCAGTGCGACCATTCTCCGTATAGTAAAAGAAAATCAAAGTATGTGAAAGGCACTCAGAAAGCTGCGCAGTGCGACCATTCTCCGTTTAGTAAAAGAAAATCAAAGTATGTGGACTTAAAAGACTGTTTAGATGCAAAATATAAAGTTTTAAATATCAGAAGAGATAAATTACTATTAATTGAAATTATAATGGATTTTTTAATTATAAAGCAGTGTCAAACGTAAAGTTTCTCATTTGCGAAAGGTCGTTGATTTATTTCCAGTGCAAAAACCTTCCATTCGAGATTAATTAGTGACGTCATTACATCAATCACAGACCACGATTCACAGACGAAACAATAATTATTAGGCATTCCAAACAAATGAATTACCAGTAAGCAGGTTTGGTATATCTAAGGGTGGCGACATATGGTGTATTCTATCTACTTTACGTAAAATCATTACATTTAAATATTTTATGTCAAACACAATAAAAATAATATTTAAAAAACCCACCTATACATTTCTTCATAAATTGGCAGGCTTGGCGAGTACTACTTCGAATAAAAATAGCGTCCAAGTTGCAAGACTATGTCGCTACCCCCTTAAATATACAAGAATTTCCCACTGGCACCTATTGTTTGACAGGTCGTTGGAATGCCTAATTGTTGAATAAAAGAACACACCTTTTGAAGCATTTTCCTGTCAATGTCAATAACGTCAATTGTCAATATGTGCCAAACGCATTATAGGTTATGTTTATGCTTCTTCAAAAATCAAACAATTTTCGGTTTCAAATGAATTAAACAAATATTAAGAATTATCTTAACTACCTATAAAGATGATTTTCCTCAAACCGGCTTGGATAAATCATGATGGTAAGCTATATAAAAAGAAACATAAATATTTTAAATATGATTAATGATCTCCACAGACAATAAACCCATTTTTTCCATCGATATTCACCCAAATGGTGGTAGATTTGCAACTGGAGGCCAAGGTGGATCAGGAGGAAGAATAGTCATTTGGAATATCGGTCCGATACTAGATGAGAATGAAGAAATTAATTCTAAGATTCCAAAAATGTTATGTCAAATGGATAACCACTTGGGTAAGTTATTTAAAAATCTAACAGTGAGGAATCTACATATTTATTCACTTTTTAAATTCCTATTTGCCTTAGCCTGCGTAAATGTAGTCAGATGGAGCAATGGAGGTCATCTTCTAGCATCTGGTTCAGATGATAAACTAGTCATGATATGGAGGTTAACTAATGAAGGCAGTTCTTCAATTTTTGGTAGTGGTCATGTCAATGTAGAGACCTGGAAATGTGTTTACACCCTTAACTCGCATAATGGTGACGTATTAGACCTTGCGTGGGCTCCCCATGATGGTTGGTTAGCCTCAAGCAGTGTTGATAATACAGTTATTATTTGGAATGCACAAAAATTTCCTGAGAAGGTTGCTGTCCTAAAAAACCATACTGGAATGGTCAAGGTATGATATAAATATAAATCTTGGTTTGTTTTTTACACAAATAATAGTTATAATGTAGAGGATGGGTGGCTTACTGTTTAGAGCCTGGGTCTGCAATTAGGCCTTAGTTGTTAATGGTATTGACACCAATCGAAAAATATAGGTACCCGAAATCATTTTTGTTCATATTAAACTATTGTTAATATTTTGAATTTTCTCTTTTTCTATATTATAACAAATTTAGTAAATCAAATTTACTATTTACAACTTTATTAGCTAGTAAAGATAATCAATTACTGCTGTAAATTTGCAGTATTTCAACATTTCCAACCATCCTTGACCAATAGTTTTCTATATAAATTATAGGGTGTAACTTGGGATCCAGTAGATAAATACATTGCCAGTCAATCTGATGACAAATCCTTAAGAATATGGCGTACTTCAGATTGGACACAACAAGAAGTGGTTACTGAACCTTTTACTGAGTGTTCAGCTACTACTCATGTTCTGAGGTTGGCATGGTCACCTGATGGTCAATATTTGGTATCAGCACATGCCATGAATGGAGGGGGACCTACTGCTCAAATTATAGAAAGAGAGGGATGGCGACAAGATAAAGATTTCGTAGGACATAGGAAAGCTGTAACTTGTGTGGTTAGTAGAAATTTCAAGAATTTATTTTTAATACAAAATCTAAATTTTTCTTAAACAAAATTGTATAAACTGATGTTCATTTCAATATAACCTAATGTTACCTTTTTACCCATAAACTAACATTGTTTGATGTTTTAGCAAACATAAAAATTCTATACCTGCCTTTAAAATACATTTTTGAGCATGATATACTTTAATTTTTTAGAGATTCAACTCGAACATCCTTAAAAAACAAGAAGGTGACAATGCAAAACCAACACAGTATTGTTGCTGTGCTGTTGGATCCAGGGACAGATCGATATCTGTCTGGTTAACATCACTGAAGAGGCCTCTAGTTGTGATTAAAGACCTTTTTGACGACAGTGTTTTAGATATGTCTTGGAGTAGCAATGGTTTGTATTTAATGGCATGCTCTTGGGACGGGACTGTAGCTTGTGTAATATTTACCCAAGCTGAAATTGGTACTCCATTAACTATGGAAGAAAAGGTATGTAAGAACAGAGAATACAGGCAAATTGTTATCACATAATATAGGAAAGATATCAAACTTATTTGATTAACAAGTGTTAAATCACGTATGTGCAAATTTATAGGACATAATATAGGTATATCAACTACAATTCAATAGGTATTAATTGTGTGTGTCTATCGATATATATGATAGAATAATAATAATAATAATGTTAATTCTACATAGATACAGATTTCTATTTATTATTTGATTGGTGGATTAATTTTTTTAGAATGAATTATATGAAAAAATGTACCACAAGTCATTCCAAAAGAATTGGAATCTTAGCTTCGCTGGTTCCCAAATCGTTGAGAATCCAGAACTGTTGGGGGTTCTTGATGAAATCAACTCAAAACCAGAAAATGCCCACATTTCTATCGAAATTCAAGATCCACCCCAGCCAGCGACTCCTCAAAAAGACGTACCTATTTCCTTCGAATCTCCAAAATTGAATCAAAGTATTTTGGTACCTCAGAATAAGCAGCTTGAAACTAGATTACCATCAGGTAAAAGAAGAATAACACCAATGTTGCTTACTGCAGTTAAGGATGGTGCAAGTAATATTAGTGAAAAGTAAGCTATAATAAAAAAACATAGTTTACTATTTGGCGCAGAAAAACAAAATAAATGTATGGTCATAATTCCTTCTTGAAATAAGAAATAAACTCACACAACTGTGCAAACCAAACCAACCAAAGCATAAGCATTTAATATGTAAAGACCTCAATCCGTAGAAGTCTATGTTTTAATTATTTCTTTGGGTTTTTTCAGCATTTTGATGTGTATCACTTTCAGAGTTCCATTTCACTCTTTACAGATATATATTCCACTCTCAAGCTTTTATTAAGCTCTTGTTCTTATATTTATATGTCTTAACTCACCTTTCCATTAAATATTTTCTGATGCCTGGAAACAGGATAAGTGCATAAAATTCATAATTTTCACATTTAGCTCCGTCACTGGTAATAAAATGATGTCTGTTTAATTCTTTCATTATATAGTAATGATATAATTACCAAACATCACACAACCATTTTTCATTTATTCCTATAGAAGTCTCTAAGTTTCTCTATTTTATGTTCCTTCCTATTTCTTATGTCCTAGGACTTGAATTTTTAATTTGGTAATTCAATTAAATCATTTAAAAATTTGTAGAAAATCAGAATTAGGTATACTTCTCATTATTTGGGCCCATTTTATAGTTGTAGTAATATAATTGTATATAACATAGAAGGTTCAACTATTGTTTAATAAATGTTTATCTTTATTTTTCTTGATATGCTGTTGGAACTAATAACTTTTTCGAAGCATTTCCATAATTTTACTTATTTTTGCAATTTTATCGTCTTAAATGTGTGAATTTTCTCAAAATCCATTGGTTTATTATTTTTTTCAGAACGGATTCTCTAATACCTATACCATCACAAACATCTTTTAGTAAATCATCTCCTACAAAGAGCCAAATTATTGTAGAGACTGTAAAACCCCAAGATGTGCCAAAACTTCAGTTACCAAATAGTAGTCAAACAAAATTGTAAGTCAAAATAAAGAATAGCCTGGTCATAATCAAATATTTAATTTAAATTTGTTTTAGCCAATCAAATAATCTGGTCAGTAAAGTCATGGCTCCGCCTACTGTCCAAATAAATCAATTAATGTGCTGTGAAGTACCTGGTGATGAACCTATAGTCAAGTTTATAAATATTTTGGATCCCCTAAAATTGCCTCCTGGTGTTTCTGTAACAAAAGACTGTGGTATAATAAAATTACAAGTAAGTCAAATAAATAACTATTTAGAGGGAATTTTGTTATTAATGACCTACAACTGAGGTAAAAGATGCTGTGTAAGCACTGTATTAAATAAGAAAGTTTTTTTAGTAAAGTACTTAAAACTGTTCAGTCCTGGGTCTTTAATTTCTGTGTTTAGAAAAATTTATAAATACAGAAAAAGGTCACACAGATACAACTGGTTATATTTGTATTGCCTTTTGTGTTTTTTTGGTACAGTACAGTAGTTCTGGTAATGTTTATCTATCAGTTTTAGTTTAGATCATCTTGCGTTGGTGTAAGCTCTCAAGTTACTGACATTTGACACATTTTTTATTCAGATTCCTCATGATATCTTGATCCTTCATGATTTTCTGGTGATCATTTAATAAATTGACATATTTTAAAATTGGTAATTAATATAAAATTATTAAATTTTATATGTATTAATAGATTACAAATAATTGCCATAAAACTCCAAAAGGCTCTCTATCCAAAATCGAAGCTTTCAAAAATATGACTGACAAAGAACTTAAATGGGATACATATCTAGGTAAGTTTTAAATTTTACTAATTTTAACTCCAATGAGAATTGAGTATCCCTTTGTTAAACTCATCATTAACTATTATTACAAATCTAAAAGAAGGCAAACATTATGTTTCATATGTTTTTTTTTATAACAAAAATGAATAATGATTTCTATTTAACTAAAAATGTTATCACATTGTTAGAAATAATTTTGTTTTTACATCCATGACTTATAATTGTTTATTTTAAAGTAATTAATTTATAAATTTACATTACTTATAGACAAAAAAAATATATAAAAATCATTTATTTTTTTAGATTTTAAATATTATAAAATTATTAACATTAAAACATCTCTTTAGGTTCATCGATCCGGTGTCTGGCAGCCAACAGAAAACTAATTGTAGTTTGTTGTGAAGACTTAACGATAAATTGTTATGACATTAAATCAGGAGCTAGACCTCTACCGCCTATCTTGATAGAAGATTTGGTTTCATCAATAAGTATGACTCAAGAAGGGCATTGTTTGGTTTTAACTAAAACAGGTCTTATACACATGTGGGATTTGGAGAACAATAAAAACATTTTCTCCAGAATTTCTGTGAGAAGTCTTTTAAGTGGAAAAGGTGAAAAATATTACTTTATTCCAATTTGGCGATTTAAAAATATGATTCAATCTAAATACTGTGAATAACGCAATTATAGTTCTATTTTGTTCTTTCTGGCAAGCAGTGTCATTATAATACAAGGGTTGGAATTGCCAACAGCACATCTTGGCTGTGCCTCTTGTAGAACTTGGCCCTAGGAAAGATGGCTTTGCATCTCGGCTCAAACATTACAAGCACTGTTAACGTTATGTCCCTCTTAATGTATGACTAAGCCAGATAGGAAAAAATAAGTAATAGATAATTTACATTATTAATAATTTTTATCAAAGGAATTGAAATATAGGTATTATATTTTTAGAAGAGTTGGAGCTTTAGGCCTATTATGGACCTCCTGTATTTAGAGCACATTGTCTAACTTTGACAATAATTCACGCATTATGTTACTTTTTATAGGTTTTTCTTCGCTCAGGGTTCGAAATATCATGGATTGATATTTAGATAGAAAAAAGATTTTTTGAATGTAAAAACATAGTGGCGCAAATTTACGTCGCCGTTCCGTCTGACTTGTACATTGCTGTCAAGATGCCGCATATCGACACTTGCTCCTGTCAAACGTAACTATTCTATTCACCCGACCGTTGTCATTCTTTCATTTTGAATATCAATGACTTAGTGCACACAGAAGTGTAATTGTGGGAAAGATTGTATTGAGTGTATGTACCTACTAATATGCGTACAACTTATTTATCTTTATTTCGCTTTATTATGTAATCAGAAACAAAGAAGAAGTGTTGAAAGGGTTTGCTAGATATATTTTATGTAAAATAACGGAGAGCTATAGCTTCAAACTTTTAAACTTAAATTTTGAAATATTAGCAAAATGTTACTCAACACATGTGTGCTCTAAACCATCGATATGCTGGTCTAGTTTCAGACAGATTTATAATGTCCAACTCATTTATTCTGCTTCTGCTTGATTGATGACAGTCATATAGTTCTACTTTTTTCATATAATTTCTTAGGCGACAGTATATCAAGCAGGCCTATTATTTGTCGTTTTGACCTAATAGATCTCTCAGGACTTGGCCTTGGTGGTCTTTGATATATTGCATAAAAAAGTATTTTATGAATCAATTCAGAATACAGGAGTATATATAAATTGTTTATTTAGGGCAATACATCTTTACATTTAAAACAAAATAAAAAATACATAAGTATAGAATCAACATACATTTAAAATACAATAAAAATACATAAGTATAGTGTACACGTGTACATGTCAACTATACAAAACATAATAAAAGAACAAAAAAAAAAACATCAAATGATCAGTAAGTACTCACGCAATTTTCTTTTAAATATTGCTGCGTTTGAAGAGCATTTAATATCTTCAGGCAAATTATTAAAAGCATGTACACCTTTAAAAAGAGATATTTCAATTTTTTAACTCTCTGAAACTTTATTCCATCAACATAAACACACTGCGATGCTACATTTAATTTTTTTAAATTTCCAGTACCCCAATTAACATCCACTTTGTCTTTTTGTAATTTATTTTCAACGAGTTTCCGCTACAATAATCATATATTTTACTTATAGAACTATTAATTTCTTTAAAACAAGTTTCAGTATTTTCATGGGTAAAATATATAAGTGTATTTTTCGACTACACCAGCAATGTCATTAATATAAATTAAAAACAGTAGCGGACGCAGAACACTACCCTGTGGTATTATTATAATATACCGAACAGGTCGATGGCCTGTTGGGTATAGTAACTCAATAAATAACGTTTGTTATTCTGCTCTCCTAAGCCAAAAAGCGGTATCTCAATTGAAGCGAGTTTCAAAACAATACATATTTTCTAAAAAGTTGTTCTCAGGTTCCCTCGAGCTGAAAAAATAATTTAGGTACCACTGGATTACTTTGAATTATTTTTGTTTTTTAATATTATTTTTAAAGTTCTTGTGTCGTTTATGCATATGCAGCTTAGTAATAATGGCATACTCCTAGCCTTTTAGTAAGTACAAGTGAAGTTGAGATATGTTAATTTGTTTTATATATTTTTTTAATTTTCTGAGTGAGATTATGCTATTTTTTTTTAGTTCATTTGATGCGGAATTTCTTAAGCTACCTGATGCGTTAAAGAAATAGAAAATTCGTTTTTTTTTTTTTAGATACCGCTTTTTACCTTAGGAGGACAGTATTATAAAGCATCAAAGGATATATCCTTGAACTCTGAATAATAATCTTTTACTGGTTTTTAAACCAAACCCTTCAATTGCTGAAACCCGCATTTTTATAGTTTTTGGCGTAATCCATGTATAATACCGAAAAAAAAAGCATGGAGCGATGCCAACTATTAGTGTTTAAATATGAAAAAAACTAAAATGCTAACCCTTAAATGGTCCCTACCAAATATTCAGTTAGGAAATCATAACATTAATAATACTGTCCCTAATTTATCCCCTTACGAGTGAATTTCAATCCCTGAAGCTGACTAAGCGACTTGTGTAGGGGAAGGGACGCCTATTATTATTATTATATGCTGTGACGCTCTGGGGCGACTTAAAGATAATTGATGGTGCCATTTGACTTACATCGAAACGGTAACACATGGCGATTTTTTTTTTATAATCGATGTCATATCAACAGAAATTTATTGAAATTTAATTTCTGCTAATACAGCATCCATCCAAATCCTATAGAGAACCTAGCAAATAAATGCATATGGTCTGCCATAGGATTCGAAGCTGGGTGTATACTCGACCACAAAATTGCTCGTAAATCAATGCAAGCGCGTTAGACACCTACGCTACCGATCCGAATGTATTGACACAATAAAATGCGCATAGAACTTTTAGAACCATATTATATAGAATTATTAAAAAAAAACTTTCTTCTTGAGATTTTGTAGTCAGAACTGTGGCAAAACAATTAGATTTTAAACCCCCTAAAAGTGTTTATAAGGCTTTAGTAGTCCAATTTAAGATATGGAATTGCATTTTGAGGAGTTTGTAGCCGGGAGTTGTTCAAAACTGTTTTTTGTCTGCAAAAGAGAGCAATGCATTTTTTATGTCATGTGAACATTCTTGAGTCATGTAAGCCACTTTATGTTAGACATGAAATGTTAATATTAATATTGTTGTTCATTCTTGAAACTACTTAAACTACATAAAAACAAATCAACTAATGCCAATAAACCCTCGTTTAAAGTGACAAGTTGACAACCTGTCAGATCTGAGCTGGTAAAAGGCTCCTTCATTCATAATAGGATTAAAATGTACAATAAATTGCTAAATAATATTAAATCGACGAAAACAATTGCAACATTTAAAACTATATTTTAGTGACAAAGGCCTATTATACTGTTACGCAAGTTTTTGGTATCACAATTTATTTCAACTGAACTTTAACAATGCAACTGATAACATTAACGTATAACGTCTATCACAAAACTGAAAACTGACGTCAGGATCATCCTTATACGAGTATAGCTTGCTTGACCCTTCTCGAACTGTCACCTAGAATATTCTTGACGGGTAATGACATTTCCATACATTTCTGGACTATTCTATCTTCTTTTACTTGTACTTTTACTTATGACGACCACAGCACACTGTAGGGCGATGAGTAACATTCCACTTCTTTTTCTATCTGTACGTTTCTTATAATAGCCGCAGGATACTGCAGGGTGCTGTGTAACAATACTTTGACTAAATTTTACAATGACTTTTAAATTGTTGTAACTGTTTGAACGTACTACATGTTTTATATTTTTATACTTTTATTATCGATATTATTTATGTTGTTTGTTAGTATAGTATAGGTATGTACCGCTTCCGCATTCATTGGCGAGCTAAATTTGTAGTAAAGAAGATATGACATCTAGATTATAAAAATCACCATGCGTTACCGTTTTCGATGATGGTGGGTGGGGTTTTCCTCGCCTGTAAGTCAAATGGTGCGATAAATTATCGCCCTAGAACGCCACGGCAAATAATAGTAATAGGCGGCCTCTACACAAGTCGCTTAGTAGGCTTCAGGGGTTGAAATTCAATTATAAGGGGGTGAAATGGGAGAGTATTATTATTATCATAAGTTGTTGTAGCTTTAACAATAGTTTGATTCCTTAATTGATTGAGTAAAAGTTTTTTTTTTGGCTTTGGCAGAGACCAATTAGCCAGACTTTTTTTGCTTTTAAAATGTATTTGTTTACTTGTACCGATTTTGTTCAATGGGACAAATCATTTTAAAATATCAATGTTACATATTTGATTTTGAATAAATAATTTTAACACTGTTATGTTGAGACAAGTCACAAACATAAACTCCTTCAATTAATGTCATTTATGTTTAGGTTCAGTCAACGGCTGTAGTTTAGGCCCTTCCAATCAACCTGTGATAACATTGACTGATGGACGAGCATATGCCTACAGTTTAGATTTACTTACATGGTTAGTAATATTTGAATGTGCTGTTTTAATGAATATTTAATAATTTAATGACTATCTAATATAAATAAAAATTCCTTTTTTAGGGTACAGTTATCAAATCCTCTTGACCCAGTTTGTGCAACAGGAAGTCACCTTACAAAAAAACTACCACAGACGTTACCTTTGGCGTCGATGCAAAAATATATGCGTTCCCAAAGAAGTATAGACACTTTACCACCTGGCGTTACTTTAAGCTTCTTAGAATCTCAAATTATGGCAACCGGTGTACTAGAATCGAGTGCAGAGTATAAACATTGGCTTTTTGCTACTGTTAACCATTTATTAGAAAAAGGTAAATATTTTCTTAATAAATTTGTAATACACTGCAATATTAATTATAAATAAAGATATAAACATTAAATATTATCGTTGGTTGAGAAGAAAACTATCCTATGTCCATTTATTTAAAAAATAAGTTATTAACGTAATATCCTAAGTTCTATTTAATTCTAGCTTGTGCAATACTATCCAGTGTCCTAAGAAACCGTATGGGGAACAAAAATTGCCGAGAATTGTCTTCATTATAGGGCAATAAAAATTTCAAATGCGTAATACTCAAAATTAATAGAAAAAGACTTATGATAGTATTCTTCTCAACCAAATATATAATAAACTAGCTTTACTTTTAATTTAGAAGACAACTAATAGATTCAAAAGAAGCACTATAAAATTATCAAATCAATAAAAAAATGTTTTTCAGGTCCTGAATGTCGACTGCGAATTATAATAGATGATCTAATGGGACCCACCCATAAAAGTTCAAAGAAACCAAAAGTTGAAAAAGTTTTGGTAAGTAATTTGATTTAATATAAAATGTACCATTACATTTAATTTTTTCAGGGTTTAACAAAGCTGAACTTACTTAAGGATATATTAGGAATCATAAAAACAAAACTTCCGTGGCAAAGACTTTACAAGGAATACAGTGAACAGCTATTAGAACTAGAAAGTCACTCGCAGTAAAGAGTACTATTTTTGTGATATTAAGCATAATTTTAACTTTAAGTATGTGTACAATACAAGTAAAACTGATTTTTAAAACATTTGTCTTAAGTTTAATACCTTTTTCTAAAAAGCAGTTGTGTAGTTTTTAATCATTATCCTACAAAATTAAATCTTTGACGGAAAGGTCACAAACACAAAAGTGTGAACATATGTAAGATAAATGATATTAATCAGTGGGACAAGGGTAGAAAAATTTAAATGAAATGAAAACAAGACTAGACAAAAATAAAATAGTGTCATGCGAAAACCAGTCTGTCCCAGATCTTCTCGCTGCCAGTTTGTATTCCGATACCGCTGGACGCTCAAGACAAACGAATTCGTATGAGAAATTACTGGAAATCTCTAGCGCAAGTGTCGATTCATGGTAAAGGACTGGAAAGCACCTCGAATTCTGCCAAACGGGACTGGATTTATCTGATAAATGGATTTTTTGCCATTTGAGTTCAGTTGAAGTCGGGACACAGTTGAATATATAGACATTCAAATAATGCTGATTTAAAGTATTTTACTATAAATAAATAAACTATTTTAAACAAATGTTATAGTAGTAAGGATTACCAGAGATGTAAAGAAACAGAAAATCGACGCCCAATAAATAAATGCTCTGATAATTTACAGATAAAGTAATAAGATAAACCGGTAACCATGCCTACTTATAGGATGGAGGAAGAAGAATGTTTTCACAAATGTGAATATTCCAGTATCAATAGCAATAATATAAAAAAATCAGCTTATTAAATTTTATTAATATTTATAGGCGAGTAGAAATCTTAAGGTTTAAACACATTTTCTGTCATTAAAACACCATTTTCGTATCATATTCTCTACAATATGATCTCACCTGAAAGATTTTTAAATGCTTGCAGGACTAACTTAGATGAAAGATTTTCTTTTCCTCATAAAAGACCAGTGGAGACTGAACGCTTGTGCTAGGTATATAATTTATTTATTTATTTTCATTATAAAATTCGCATTCACATTTTTTCATGTTAAATTAAAATATAAGTAAACTGAAATTAAAATGAAACACCTAGGTACAAGCACCTGTATGTGCGAAAGACAAACAGCCGTATTCATAGTCAATCGCCAGATATTCATCTCTGCGGTAGCTGAAGATTGTCACCGACATGTCATCTCTCACAAGTTTTCATATTCTTTTATAGGGAAAAATTTGATATTCGTTCATTGTTTTTTAAGAAATGAATCATGAATTACATGCGAGAGATGCCGGTGATAATCTCCAGCAAGTCGCCACCTTTTCGGGCTTTCGCCAGCGGATCGCTGGTGATACGCCTAGATTAATCTCTGGCGAATCGCTGGCGATCGACTATGTATACGGCATAGGCTCGGCAGAAAACTGCTTACGCCGACCCAAAACCCCGGGAATTGTGTGTTTTATTCTTAGATAAAAGAAACCAATGTAAAGTTTTATATTATGTTGTATATATTTGATTTTAAAAACATGTAAAAAAAGATTTCACATGCAGTAGGTGAAAGTAATATTAGCTTATACGCATATTTATACAATATACATACATTTATACATTAATTTGAATAACAGTAACAAGAGTACAAAGCTGTATATGGTATTTTAATAAGATTAACATAAAAATATCTTAGTCACATTAAAAACTGCAAAATATAACAAACTATTTAAAATTACGCAACACATAAAATATTTTAGGTATCTAAAGCGATGGAGATGATTTTGACACACGGCAGAAGACAACAGTAATAATATTGTCATGTCGTAATTACTTCCAAGAAACTTTTTACATTCTCTCGAAAAATGTTTGATATTTTTGACTTGCAAGGGAAGAGAGTTGTAGATTTTTTGTGCCATGCTTGTTACAAATCTTTGGCTAGCATCCCTATTAACAAAAGGTGGTCCTATAATAATTTCCTTTACGTGTATTATGTTCATGAAATGCATTTAGTTTTAGGCTGGATAATAAAAGATACATAATGTGTGTAAATATAACAATCTAACATTTAAAATGTCACCATTGTATAGAAGTGAAGTAGAGTACCTGCAGTTTTGTCTGTATATTATCTATAATATGTTATTTTGAATTACAGTTAGTGGTGGAATTGCATTAATATGAAATAGATGAGTGTTGAGACAAGTAAATACATGCCTGGATCTCGTTCCGCTTCTATTTATGCCTTTGTTTTTCGCTTCTGTAGATGGGCTCGATTTTAAATAGTATTGGTTAGTCAAGTTGACTTTGAAATTGTATTATTTGCAAAAAAATTGTGTCAAAAGGGAGATAAAAGATGGAACCATTTTCATTTATGTCTGTGTTAGTCACTTTGCGTTTGATCCTATGGTTGAATGTTTTTAGTTTGTGACTTTGTTGAGAATTTACACTGCATTTCAAAACTTCCAACATTGATGGCTCGACTAGCATCAACAACTATTTGTTGCAAATAATGGTATATTTTTAAGAAGTGTGATATTTTAAAGGAAAATACTTTGTGAAATACATAAATGACATGCCAAGAAATATTTACTAAACCTACCAAATGACATATTTCTTCAGATTTAATAATTATGTAAATGTTTTCTCATTTTCAATTTATTTGAATATAGACAACTTATTTACCAGGTAAAGTATTGATATGTAAAACTAAAAATTGGTACTACTTAGGTTATGATTCTTATTATTTATATTTTAAAATTTAAATATTTATTATTATAGAATATACAAGTAGATTATATTGAAGCTTTATTTACAAAACAAATATACAGAGCTCTAAAAATATCTGCCCAAATAGCAAATGTGTGATATTTTCAATAAAATCATATACAAAAAAAATCTTAACAATTTATCTTCAAAATTATTATATTTTTTAATCATAGAGATGCCATGGTAGTTAATTACAAATTTTGGACATCATTAAGAAGCTTCTAACTAATAAAAGATCAACTCTAAATATTAATTTGCATAGGCACATTTGATGATTTAGACAAATATTTTCTATTATTCTTACAAAAACTATCACATTTATGTTTTTAAATTCTTTTTTTCTTCTGCTATGTATTTGTCCAAATCTGATAAGGGTTTATAATATATATGTACTACTTGGGATCCTGCCATCATTGATAACATAGCTGTAATGGCAAAAGTAATATATCTTCCCCAGCTTACTCCAGCAGGCATGGTTTGATACAAAAAAATATCACAACTTATATCTTTCTTCTTCAGTGTGTTGTTCTAAATAAGTTTTGGCTTGTCTCTTTTTATAAGTTTTATCTAAAAAAATAAATAATATAATTATTATTAAAAACCATTAAAATGAAATATCATTTATGTCAAGTTACTCAAGAATAAAAACTCAAAATATGTCGGACATAGGTACAAACTGAGCCATAATGGCTGAATCTAGTTGTTGTAAGAGTTTTTAAGGTCATTATCTAGTTTGAGCTCTTTTCATTTATAAAAAACTAAGTATATGTACTTGTAGGTATCACTGTCGACAAGAATATTTTATAATAGGTATAACTATTGACATTATTTTACCCATCCACTACCCTTGCTCACTTCTTTTCCTGCAAATATTAATTGAAAAAATAGCAAATCTTTATTAAAAACAAAATATTTGTGTCATTATTCATTTGTACAAGATAATGGAACTTAAGTTTTTTGTTTACAATAGTGATAGGTTCATAAGCTTAGTTGTTCCGTAATTGAAAAAAGCTCAAACTAGATATTTACCATTTTTAAGCTAATATTTTACTTACAAAAATTAACGTCTCCAACGTTCCAATTTATCATAGAAAATTCTAGGGCTGCTCCAAGCATGAAAAATAATGGGATAAATCTATAAACCCCAAAATACCTTTTCCCAGGCCATTTGTTAAGGAATGTTTTCAGCTTCGGAGAATACAACTTCATTTATTACAAGAATTACGATTAAATGTTTGCATTTATTACATGTATATATTTAAATTTTATTATCTAACATGGGCATAACCCTACTTCTTTGACACTGACAGACTATAAAAGCCAATTTTTAGTGACTGAAAAATATTTCTTCTGTTTTTCTTTCCGAAAGGAACAGTTCGCGAAAAAATGCTTTAGACGTTGCTATGGTTTCCTGTGTCAATTGTTTTCCTTTTTTAAGAATACTGTCAAAAACAAAAGTCAAATAATTATGTTTATTGAAAATCACAGGAATATTAATTTAACATTAAAGTAAAATTCCAATAATCTGTAAGTGCGATATACTTTTGTTGTTTATACCTAATTATTAATACTTTGTTTTAGATGTGCATCTAAGATGAAATTTTCCATTAGTGATAATGTCAAGAAATTTTACCCTACATCAGAAGAATGTAGGGTAAATAATAACGTAGTATGCACAGAGGAGGGTTGTTCTAGTGTGTTTATATCTGAGTCTAATCTCAATTTACATTTAATGAAGACCCATAAGAAAACAAATTTAAATACGTCCGATTCATTTAAAAAACAGTATTTCTGTCCAGAATTGGGCTGTGCCTATAATTGCGAGAAGTATTTTAAAGAACTAAAGAGCTTACGTGCACATTATATGACGAAACATATCCCAGAAGAATTTAAGTGTATGAGTTGTCAAAAAATGTTTTCTTTGCAAAAAAACTTGAGCCGCCATGCTGAATATTGTGGCGTGGACTTCACTTGCCCAACATGCAAGATAGCTTACCCTTTATATGAGTCTTTGCAGACTCATGGAAGAAGAAAGAAACATTTTATTCCCATTAAGAGTGAATTTAAATTAAATAGAAATAAATCAGAACCTATCATAGAAGTACCTACATGTCGACCTGTATTGCCAAAAAGTTCTTTTAGCGTTATAATATTTCCTACTACTGGAAATACTATGTTTAGCCAAGAAAGTCAAACTTATAACCGTGTACCTAAATATAAAAGTAAAATGACACAGGTTTGCCATGAGCTAGAATTAAAACAAAATGATAAACAAACACAAATTGGATCAGCAAATAAATTTCTCTCAGTTGAAACTCAAACTATAGGGGATTATAATATTGTACCTAAAAAATCTATTTTTATTGATGATTTATCTCAAAAAAATTCAAGCACACTGACAGATGTTGTGGAATCCAAACACTCTTCTTGTAATACTTCTTTCAATGAAGAAGATTTTCCTATGAAAGATATTGAGACAAGCAATTCTGGTACTCAAACTGGCAATAGTGTAGATAATAATAATTGTTCATCATCTACAAATACTCACAATTCCATATATACGGACACTTCAGACTTGCTTAGCGAAACTTTAAATGTAAATATGGGCAGTTTTGAGTTTGATAATTGCAATATGGAAACTCAAACTGATTTTATTTTTGATGATGTGATGTTTGGTTATGATTTAATGAGCAACATGTACACTCAAACTTGTGATCAGATCTTGACAGACTTAGGTTTTAGTAATATTCAAACTCAAACTGCTATAGATGATATGTTAAAGTCTGTGGAAAGTCAAACTGTGATGTCTAGAAAGCGGCCTGATATTGGAGATAGAGATATGATGCACATGGAGACTCAAACGGACATGGAGTTTAGAGAAATGTTAGAAGTTATCAATTCATGACTATAACTTATTTACACTTGTTTGCATAAAATTTTAGATTGTTACTAAATTAAGTAGTTCATGTCGATGTAATCAAGATTCTACATTTTATTGATAGAATGTTTATATTTCTTGTCAGTAAAATACATGTTTTATGATATTTCTGGAACAAACGGTTTTTTATTTTAAGGAATTTAAATTCAATTTTTCATCATGTTTGAAAAGCGGATTTATTTTCTTATACAGAAACTTATAATACATGATTAAATCAAAAAATTAAAAATCTAGAATACCTACATAATTATGTAAAAAGATTACTGAGATCCTCCTACCTATGAAGCATCAGTATTGCATTCGTTCTGACAAAAAAATAATTTTAATACTTTTTACCCAAAATGCAAAAAAAAAATAATCTGTATGTATATTGGCAAAATAATTCCGATCGAGTTGAGGTTTTTGTTTTTAAATTCTAATGCATTTCTTATGGAGCTTATTTTATTCACTCCAACATAGTGAAATCACAGATATGTTTTTGTATATTGGGATCACTTTTAAATGTCAAATTATTTACAAATGTTTGCACATAGTTTGCACATTCATTAAAATATTTTTCCTACAATCATTTTAGAAAGTGACACATCGCACTATTTCATCTTATAAAAAGTGTCCTACTAAGTACCACTGAACTCCCAACCTACATCACAGGTATGTGCTTAAGTAAGAGTCAACTTTCTGCCCATGTAAGCATGAATAAGAAACTACTTTCCACCCATGTAAGTATGAATAAGAAGCTACTTTTCTGTCATTCTGCTCATGTAAGTATGAATAAGAAGCTACTTTCCGCATCAACTGTCAGAGATGCAACAATTCCATTTTGATTTATGTAATATCTATATTAATCGTAAAATCAATGTGATGATTAAATGGTTAACATGATTTTTATACCTAGCTCTTATAGGTATTTATTTTTAACAATTATTCAAATAATTTAAAAGTAACTACAAATGCCGCGTTTGAGAATCCACATCGGATGCATCTGAGATGTAAGCTGTAAGCTAATAAAAACCGTTCAACTTTGGGCTTTATTGATAGGTTTTTATTTACTGCGCATGACGATGACCGTAATATTACGGTTTTGTGAGATGTTGGGACAAAGCTGTAGTAAATCTTTGATCACGTGATTCAGTATACGTAAATGTAATGGGACAGATGTGTCCGATGTGGATAAAAAAATGCTCGAGATGTAAAAAATGCATCCGATGTGGATTCTCAAACGCGGCAATAATATATTTTTCATGTTTTTTTTTTCTTCTAACGCAAATATTTGATTAGATAATTCACTTGACAGAATATATATGACTTTGTGGCTCAGATATTTAAGCGTTTGGACTTTTGATTTCGCGACTGCGATTCAATTCAAGATAAAAGCATTCTTTTTAAACTTTTGTTTAAAAAAATTAAAATGAAAATTGAAAATAATGTATACATTTTTGTTTATTTATATTCATTTTATTTATCATAAAGTATAATGTTTATTTATTTATACACTTTAATTTTTTAATTTATTTACAGTTATTTGTTAATTTATTTTAACCATTAATCTGCACACATAATATCTAAACTTTCTCTCCAACAGCAAAACAGCCCATGTATAAGTGGAGTTTCTCAAATATTCGCGCATTCGCAAGAACTTGCTACAAATACTCTAGACGTCCTTAGTGTCTCTCCGGTAATTTCTAGAATCTCACTTAGTATAGAGGCCCAGTAAACCACAATAGTCGGTATTCGCTCGGCTTGACACCGGCATGTACGAGAAGCCGAGTACTCGGATTGCCGTTGTCGGGGTTGCTTTTGAGCCGCCAGGACCGTACGACCGTACCATTTGTCGTAATTTAGAAGAAGAATCCGCATGTGGTCCATATTTGGCTTTCCAGGCATGGGAGGCATCTTTACGGGCCCAACGCGTTGAATATTTGGCTAGCCGGGCATGGGAGGCAACCTTACGGGCCGAACTATATATATGAACGCGCCTACACAAACACCCTTATTCACACTTACAATTCCTTCATCCGACCCGTTGCCGAATACAGAGCTGTACCCTATGGCGTACTTCCCACACACTTGTCCCACAAATTCACCACACTCGAGAGATGTATTCTCAGACGTTGCCAATATCTCCCCCAGCGAAGAAGTTTTCGAAAACATCTCCAACACCCCCATCCTCACACGTTTCCAAACCCTCAGGAAACAATACGTCTCGCGCACGCTGAAAGGCACCAACACACACTCTCAAGACACTCTACGAACCCCAGGGCGCCCAAACCAACTTCTACTTTTTCGAAAACCGGAAAGAAAAATGCCACAACCTAATCTGAGACTTCTCTCAGACTCCTAAGTCCTACCCTGAGCGCGTAGCGCAATAGTCCTCAAAAACAGATACGATTTGCAATTTTGTCGATTCTAAGCCTAGCGCGCGCGAGTCAAGGCAACCCATCGCTGTGCAGGACCGTACCTGTTTATAATTTTTAATTAATTTTTAATTATTTTTATTTTAAATATTTTGGAAAAACGAAATCTGCGCATCGGTCTCAAATTATGCGAACTACCACCCCTACAAATGTAGACGCTAAGTTTGGAAACACCCTGTATGTACAATATCGTGATTTAGGTTATAACTGCCTACGTGGCGACGCTAATATTTTCCTAGTAATCACTGGGAATGTTAGCAAAGTCCACAACTGTGTGTTTGGCTCCTTGAGTAATCTCCTGTTGATATGATTTCATAGCTAGTTCCATTCTTTTTTGAACTTGGCTGCACCGTACTGATGAAGACCAATAGTCAGAAACATGTGTCTGCGGTTTGCTTTTAGGCTTTTTTTCATTTTTTTTGCGGTATTTGCCCAATAATCCTTTTATCTTTTATATTTTTCACCGCAATAAACCTTCTTCTATTGTTTAGTTTCCCTGGGCTTGGATGCATCTTCATAGTGGCTATAACTGCCTCCGTGGCGACGCTGATATTTTCCTAGTAATCACTGGGAATGTCCACAAATGTGTGGTTGGCTCCTTAAGTGATCTCCTGTTGATATATGTATTCTCTTAAAAAAAGCTTATTTGTGTACCTACAGACCAGAAAGCTCTGCAAACATTTTCGTTTCTAGGCAAAAATATTAAAAGAGCCTACAGTATATCCCTCTATGCTCTATGGATGTTAGACGTTTGTCTTTAATGTGAACAAATAATGAAAAGGAGCTACTACTTAAAATTATCCACCTTATTTTAGTGAAATGTGTAGTGTCTTCAGTGCTACAAGTAATTTATAAATAAAAATATATTTGCAAATTGTACAGTTTTGATCAGCATCCCTTGTATATACAAATATATAAGCATTTAGATATTTTACCTCATTAAAAATAAAACAAAACAAAAATGTGATAACATATAAAACATCGTAACAATAAAATTGTATTTTTTAATGGCCAATATAAACATAATTTATATATTTGTTATTTTGTCATAATATATTTTCAATTAATACTTACCAACTCTTTGATTAATTATTGTATGTTATATCAGTTTCGGTCTAACATAAGTTATGTTAAACCGAGATATTAAAAGAAATTTTTTAGACTTTATTATTCTTTAAAATACTTGCACATTTTTTATTCCTTGAAACTTATTTTACCAATTCTCGGTGGAATTACTAAAAAATAGTTATTATAATAACCTTAATCATTCGTTTTATAACAATTAATAAATATTGTTTACATTTTCTAAAAAAAAAATAAAAATGTAGGTTTGGCTTTCATTCTGAAAAGTCCGTATCTGGCGGATCGGCCATATTGGATTGACAACAGCCACGAAAAGTGATACCGTTTTGAATGTTTGAAAATGATACTAATAGCGTCTCCCTCCCTTATAACTCCATGCCAAAACCTTAACAATGAAGTAATGTTACAGTTTTTTATTATCTAAAACGTCTCGTTACTTGTATTTATCCTTGTAGATACGTCGGATTTTTATGCCACCTGACGTCATATCATGCGACAAGGATAGAGCTAACATGCGCAGGAGCATTCCGGTATTTGTGTATCGCGCTGTTAAGTGAATTACAGAGATGGCGAATTATTTATTCACTAAAAATTCGTTTATAGGTACCTACATCTTTACTTACCAATGCACGTAAATATTCTAATATGTCAACTTGACAAGTTAAAATTTCTAGTACATCAATCATCTTCATTTTCATTTATTTGTTTTACATTATAATTATTTCATTATGTGTGCGATTCGTTTATGGATAAAATAACCGCTACAATCAAATATTTTGCGGAAAATATTTACAAATTATTAGAGGCATTGTTTTTGGTAAGTTTTTATCTTTTTTTGTTACAATGCTCCTACACAATTTCGCTGCTAACGGAAAGCAGAAATGTCTTACGCCTAACCGCAATACTTTATTAAATCGATAAGGTCTATATTTTAAAATGATTTTGATTTATAGAGGATATTCCAACAAATGTAGCACCAACTTTATCTTTTCTTACGAAATCTTTCATTATTAGATATTATATATACTATGATATTAATATTTGTTTTCTACAAGAAGATGGACAGGACCGACATTTGAAAGCGCAAATATATACTACGTCACAACAATATTTCAGAATATTTTTGTCCTTTGTTTTGAATATTTTAAGTTTTAAATACCAAATTACTATGCAGAAGTAGCCATTTATTGACTTTGGAACCAGACTTTGCATTATACAGGGTGTTTCATAATATATGCGCAGGACTTCAGGACGTGATAGCTCGTCCAAAAATATGAAAAAACGTTTCTATTAACTTACCCTCTAAAATGCACCATTTTCGAGATACAGGGTGTTGAAATTGAAATAAAAATTTCTACGCCACTGGAAAATGTACGATTTTGAGACGCCCATTTGAACCGCCAATATTTTCTACACAAAAAAGGTACTCTTGGTCATACGCTCTAAAGTCGACCGTTTTCGAGAAAAACCAAATTTTGTTTCAAGTATGTATGACCATGTATTTCAACATTAAAATTGGATTTTTCTCGAAAACGGTCGACTTTAGAGCGTATGACCAAGAGTATCTTTTTGTGTAGAAAACATTGGCGGTTCAAATGGGCGTCTCAAAACCGTAC